ACATGCGCACACACACAGGTGCGCACACACAGGCGCATGCGCATGCAAGGTACGAACAGACACATGCACACACACACAGGTGCGCGTACGCAGGCGCATGCGCACACAAGGTACAAACAGACGCGCACACACACGTGCGCATACGCAGGCGCATGCGCACACAAGGTACAAACACATGCACACACAGGTGCACACGGAGACACACAGGTTCACACACATACAGAGGCGCACACACGCAGGCGCACGCACAAAGGTGCACACACACCTCTATTTATATGTAATTTTTAGTGTACCTTTGACTCCTGCCTTTCTTCAGCTTCCGGTTTCCGGTAGACATCTTTTGAGGCATTATGTACACCAGCTTCCTCGGCTTCCATGTCTCTTCCTGCCTTGCCTTTCCCGTTCGTATTTAGCCTCTGACCCAGCATCGTGCCCACCCCGTCCTCCCCTCCAGCCGCCGCCCACGTTGCAAAAGCCCACAGGCACGCACCACGTCCTGCGTTCCGCGGTAGCCTGCGCGCCGTCCGCACCGCGGGTTCGCGGCCCCGCTGCCCGCTCTCAGGGACAGCACGGTCTCTGGCTGATTCCACTGGCCCGCGGGCTGCTTCCTTCTTCGCCTTCGGGGTCACAAGCTCCCACGCAGGGCTCAGTCGGAGCCCGCTGTTTTCGTCATTCACGTCCCCCGAGCGTCCTGATTCAGAGACTAAATATACTGAATATATTTAGTATTAAATTTCATACAGTTTGTGAAATATCCACAGCAGGGATGAGTCGCGGACGGCTCTGCCGCCAGGCGCCCCAGGTCAAGTTCCGCGAGTCCCGAACCGCGTGTGTGTCGCGCGGGCGCTCGAACCCTGTGTGCAGCACTGAGCGCATGATTTCCTTTTCCAGGTCGCTCATCTTCCAGGCTTCCCCCGCTCTCTGAGCAAGCAGTGCACATTTTAGCCAGTTGCTTCAGCTATAAACCTGGTGCTGGTCTCGACTCCTTGCCCCCTCTGCGGCCGACATCACCTCCATCGTCGTCCTTGCCCCAGCTCTGCAATATCTCTGGGGTCCTGGCAGATCCCTCAGTCAACATCACACACCTCCTCCTAACCATCCTCACCTTTCTCCTAGAAAACCGTCAGACTCTTTAAAGTCTTACCACATTGATTGTCCCTACTTCAGAGGCTAAGGCATCAGCAGCCCTGGTATCTACAGTTAAATGAAAAACAACTTCGGACCTAGTAAGGAGACACATTATCTGAAAGGATTATTTATTGCCCTGGGAGAAGAGGTCTATTTCAATAGAAAGAACAATGCTCTAACCATAAGATGAGCACAGGTCTCCAGGGTTAGGGAAAAGGGTTTTTCCTCTCTGCAGATGAGGGACAAGCCTACGGGCACTGGGTGTGGGGAAGCAGGAGAGGCCATGATGGGTGGTGGGCCAGAGAAGGTCTTACCCGAAGGCCGACCTGCCCACAGGGGCGCTGGCTGCTGGTTCAGGTGGGGGCGCCAAGGGACTGGGACCTGGTGGAGCGAGAGACCAGTGTTGGGTTAGCATATGCGTTTTGTTCTGACCCATCAGTGGGAACAAGCAGTTCAGCTAACCATTTCCGAGGCAAAGAATGAGAATTTGGAGGATTTATGTCTCGTCAGGTCATAGGCAAACAAAGGTGCTCCTGAGTTTTATCTAAGCGGTAGAGTAGGGGAAGATCATGGAATGGAGGCATTTCTGGCCACAGAAAAGAGTATGTGTGTGTGTGTGTGTGTGTGTGTGTGTGTGTGTGTGTGTGTTGGGGTTTTCCCTCCCCTTTCCTGGTGAGAAGGCTTTTGCAGGTGTCTGAGAGAGAGAGGTGTGCGTTTCACCTCAACACACCTCCCCTTTGTTATGCCCCCTTCATCTGTCTGTTTAGCTGAATTGAAAACTTGAACAGTATTTACTATGAATTCCATGCTTCTCTTTCCTATTTTTATATATCTGATTTCTACCCTTTCCCTATTTCTATTGAAGTATATTTTGTTGAAGTATGAGCATTTCATTCATGATCATAATTTTAAACTTGGTTATTATATGGTGCCCTCCATTGTTCAATTGTCATGATCTTAATATGAGTCAATAAGAAAAATATACATAATCACACGTCTTCCATAAGCTGCCAATTAAGTGATTTATCTCAGTTGATTACAAGAACTTTCGAAAAGTCTTCTCCATTTTGAATATTTTTAATACTGTATTCAAAATTTAACTTTTGTTTCCTTAGTGACCTCCAGAAATCAAATACAAATTTCCATGAATTTACATGGAAGTTTTGGAACTACACTTTAGTATAGTTTTGAAACTACATTTTATCTTACATAACTCTAACCTCTATAGTTCAAAATTTTTTTTTTTGTTTTATTTCTCTTGATATTTTCCAGGTAGGGTTATTAAGGCCATATCTACACAGTTCTAAAGCTATCAATTACTTAAATCCAAAAAGAATGGTCTAAAATAGACACACACACACACACACACACAGAGTCTAAATAGGGATTATCTAGACAAGAGGTCAGAAATTGCTGCAGTTGGCTGGCAAAATATCATTTTAACAATTTAAATTTTAAATATTTAGTATTAAATTTCATACAGTTTGTGAAATATCCACAGATCCACTTTCCTTTATCTTGCAGTGTCAGAATCTGCAAACATTTGGTCAGTGTTCACATGGAGGGACAGTCCCCTCAAGTGTCATAGTGATGGCCCCTTGCAGAGTAGAAAGGCATTGGCTTCAAAAGTTTCCTTTAGTCCCTGCAAGCTTTGATCATTGATGTTGTCTGTGTGGCCTTTAAACATTTTATTTGGTGAATTCTCATATCGGCCAAACATCTGGTCGGCTGAGCAAATGTTTTATTTACTTGATGCCTGACTCTGTTTATCCAAGTTAAAAATAAATAAATAATTCCTAAGCAATATATATTTTATTGTAGTTAATTGATTTCCTATAAATGAGAACTATAAAAGTAAATTAAATAAAAAGTTTGGGAACATGAATTTGAGGTGTTCCAAGAGTAGCATATCTGACAGGGATGACAGATAGTTTATCAGTGTTTGTCATCTTATAAAATTTATAAATGGGCAAAATGACACAGTTCTGACTTGTATGTCACATCAAAATTCCTAGGTCCTACTTGAGATGTATAAGTTAAGCTTATAATTAATAACTCATAAGATGCTTAAGTCATGCAGATAAGTCTTGTCATTCTCAGTGATGTCTATGTCATACCCCTTATTCTTAAACCTTGTCATTTATTTATGGCCATATAAAGGTCAAAAATGTTACCATGGATGTAGCTGTCCAGAAGTTAAATGACTTATCCAGAACTTGAGAAATGGAAGGTGAAGAGCCGTGTTGAATAAAATTGAGTTTGTGTACCCTATTTCTAAGTCAAAGACTGAAAAACGAAGGGCAGCATGAAGATATTTATCAATTCTTTAGATATTGGAAAATATAGTGGATATCAGAAAGAGGACTACATGATCCCATTGGCGGTCACATTACACACCTATAATTTAAACACTTGATGCCATATTGCTTGAGATTGGTAGATGTGAATAATATTTTCCTAGATCCAAATAAATGATTGCCCTATGGAAGATAAAATTCAGTGGGTTCCTTTACTCTTATAATATTGGTATGGGCTTATTGGTACTTAGATTTTCATAATGTTTGTGAAATTTGGGGCCATTAAGAATTTTAGTGACTCTCTTTTGCTTTTGGTTTTTGTAAGTCAACATTTGGAGAAGTTAAGTATTCCTCTCTCTGTCTCTCTTTCCTACATTATAATGTAATAATGCCATGCCAAAAAAGAACTTACAGGTAATTTTAATTCTTTAGCTATAGGAAGTAAAAATGCCTTCTTTCTTCAAAGATCCACTCTTTCTCGTTTTCCTTTTGCTCTGTGTACTAAGCACCTTTATTTTTTTTAAAGGGATAAGTTAAATCTTCTTATTCATTTATTCAATCATAAAACTGTTGAATTTGAGTGAATTGAATCTATGAGAAGAGAGGCATTCATTTGTAGATACAGATTTTTTCCCCTTTAGGAGCAAAAGCAATCAAACTGCCTATATGTGCAATGAACAACAGAAGGATACCTTCTAGCTGATTGTATGAGCACACTAACTGTTCCTTATCGACCCAGCCACACATTTCTGCATGGAATCCGTGTGCCTCTAAAACTGAGTTGCTCTCTTTGCTTTCACCGTGATATTTTGAACCACCATGGGTTAATGAGAAGAGCGAGGTTGGGGGTCTACTCTATCCTTTTCACCCATCTGCATGAGCGAATCAAGTTCTCAACAGGCAGCTCTTTATATGGAAGACTATCTCACATAAAAATGCTGAAAACAGCGGACAACTAGTAGTTGTATCAATTCTCATCCCTCTCGGGCATCCTAGTTTAAGATGGAGAAAGCACTGACGGTGGTAGTCCGTCTTACAAGCTGACCCGCTCTCTCCCTGCAGACCATACGGATTTGCCTTTCCTTTTATGGGTTGGCCTAAAGTAGAGGTAACAATCTCAATCAGCTTCTCCCTTAAGAGACTCATCCCTCTGCACCAAAAACACACCTGGACAGTGCATGTCAGCTATGTCTCCTAGGTGATGCCCACATCCCAGCTGAGATTTGCTGCATGCTCCCTAGTCAGTCCTCCCCAAGCTTCTGATGCAGTGGAGGAAGTGGATTCTCAGTGTAGTGTGTCGCCTGAGAATCCAACAGTTCCTTTGGTTTAAAATCAGACTTTCTCCACAATGTAAAGGCCATCATGAAAAAAGTCTACTGATCATTCCTCCTCGGTTGCTCAAAGCACAAGACACAACCACAGTCACAATTGGGAGCAAGCAACTTGGCTAGCCATCCCCCAGCCGAGGCTCTGGGCTGCCCAGAAAGCATGGGATTGGCTGCAACCTTAGCAACAGTGCAGGTTGGCTTCGTTGGTAGCCATTGGGATCAAGGAGTTTGCATGACCAATAAAGAACATTGGGGTGGATAATCTAACTTAAAAGTAAGAACCAGGATCATTCCCTTGTTGCAAAGGAAGAGAGATCTGCCATCTTAGCCATCATAGCAGCGAGTCTGGGAAGCAGGGAGCTTATATATGGGTGCACTTCAGAAATTCTGTGGATTACCAGCTGTGGCTTAATGCTCCTGGGCCCCCAGCTTGATTTTTTCGTGGAGAGGGAAGTCGAGCACCTGAGGGAGGCTTCAAAGCCATATTCAGTGTAGACATGGATTCATCTGCAACCTCTCCTCCCTATAACAAGGCTGTGAGTAAACATGTGTGAGTCTGTGTGTTAAATGCTATTTCACGTGACAGTTCATTAGCAATCTCTATCAACTGTTACCTTGTTTATAACTTGTTGTGATAACCGATGCTTGTGCTGATACCCCAGAGTCACTGCTGAAATGGGACTGGAATCTTTCAAGAGGAGGATGCTATGTTGAACACAGTTTTATTTGATTCTTCTCACATGGAAGCCGCCATCCAAATATATATATATTTATATTTACATATATATGAGTTTTTATTAGCGGTTGTATGTGATATATTAGAAGACTCACTTCTCCAACAGAGTTTATTATATTTCAAGCAAAACAAGAATGAGAACAAACTGCTGATTTCATTCTAAAGGAGTATAATAAAGAAGGAAATTGGTTGATAGTTGAAACACAGTATGCGGTTCTGTTCTTTTTGTGAACATGGGTCTATAAAGTAAATTTAGACTCAAATAAAAAGATTACAAGGAGGCATACCATGCACTGTGGATATTTGCTAAGCCATTTGGCCCTGGATTTCAGGAAAAAGCTGTTTGCAAGGCTTTCAGTGTGGGGTGGCCCTTGGGAGAGGTGGGCAGCCTTGCTGTGTGTTTGCCAGGTTGGTCCAGGAAGGGGCACAATAAGGGGATAAAGAAAAGGAGTGTGTGTGTGCACGTGTGTGAGTAAACATGTATGGATGTGCCTGTGTGTGTGCGTACGTGTGTGGGGCGCTTGTGTGCGTGTGTAAATGTGTGTGTGTGTGGTTTGTGCACGTTTGGTGTGTGCATCTGTGTGTGTTCATGCATATGTAGTAGAAAGAGAGAGACACACACACTGATTTGTCTTGGCTTTCTGTTCTCACGGTCCCTATCTTTATACGCATTGCATGGTTTTCTAAGCTTCTAGTTTTCAAATAGGAGGTGATATTATAAAAGCAATTGATAATGACAAACAGGCCACTAGTCCGTGAGGTATTTTCCTTCAAGACATTTCTTTCATACAGGTTTGAATACTCTTTTCTTTTAGACAACTATAGATTTGTTCCCTTGAAGTCTGGTACTTTGTAGGAGATTTCAACAGTCAAATAGTGTACTTATAAGATGAAGAAAAATAAAATTGGAGAACATCTTTGTAGACTGTGCAGCTATTGTCTTGATGCTAGATTGCTAATTCCAAAATTGTGAGTTAAAAGCACTTTTTCTTTTGCAAATGTTTATTAGAGCTTTGAATTTCATTAATAATAATTGTGATTATGGTGCTTATTGATCTGGAAGAAATCCTTAAATAGGTAATTTCTCCTTCTCATTGTCTTAGGAATTCCATGTTATAATGTGGCTTCACCAAAAAGCAGCCCCAGAAAATTCATTATATTATTGGTAAATTTTTGATTTTGTATAGATGAAAGTTTTTCTCCATACTGAGTTCTAAAGGTTACATGCCAGAACAGTGAGTTAAGAATCCTCCAGTAACTTTTTTCTCTTAGTATCCATATATCATGCATGTAATTCCCTACTAATAATCAAATGTGCTACAAATAAAATGGAATAAATTTATGTTTAGCACATTGCTGTTTATAAAGTCCGCTTGCATGAATCACCCTATGTGATCTCCATCCGATCTTGTTGAGCAGACAGCCCTCCTGCACTAGTCCAGTGGACACCAGAGGGCAGGCGTGAGGCAGGGGGAATTCCTGCATGGCCCCCTGGGGGTCTTTGTCTCCCTCCAGGTTCTTCCTGGTTCCTCACCCTGGGGAAGCCAGTGCCAGGAATTATCTGAAGCTGCTGAAAGACCTTTGTATTGATGCATCTTCTGATTTCTGCTTCCTGCTTGCAATCCCTCTTTAGCTGTTTATCTGACTCTTGGCCAGAGACATACGATTGCAAATATCAAAATAAGTAATGAAGTGAAATTAAGGATTTTTTAATCTGCTAACAGCAGTGAGGGTTTAACCATACTGTTAAAATTTAAAATTTATCTCACAATTTGGGAACTTGCAAAGACACTGTGTGCCAACTGCTGTATCTTTATTATATTGAAAATGTAAATATGATTTATTGCATAAACTATATCTTATTAAAAAGATTGTACTGATAGTAATTGCTAGTGCAATGCTTCTACAGAACTTTTTTTTTTAAATAAGAAAATGGAATGGATTTTTTAAATTTTATTTGTAATGAACAATTAATTAAAAAATCAAAACATAACAACCACATTATTTCTTAGTCAATAACACTTAGAATGGAGTGCTAGTATAATTCTCTTTTAAATTAGAAGGAAATTAGGTCCACATTCGCCTGACATTCTTTATAGGGAATTTTTATTATCATTTGTTTTACTTTTTTATAAAAGTCAACTCACACCATCTACTTTTCTTCCAAGGTAAACACCATCAAATAGATTGTTGGTATGTGCTTTACGACTTCTAAAGCACACAGTTAGCTACTTATTAATTGGAAGTTGTTATGATTCTGTTACTACTAATAATTACTGTTTTACTTAGGATGGTAAGTGGCAACTTGGAGAAGATACGTTTTAAAACTTACTGAAAACGCTGGTCTTAAGAAGCTGTATGCGATCATAGCCTTCTGAATTCCAGACTAACTTAACTTCTTATAGTTGAGCTTGATTCTGTCTGTTTCAGCCTATGAACTACAGAACTGCCCGGACCCACCTCCTTTTCAGAATGGTTATATGATCAACTCAGACTACAGTGTGGGACAATCCATTTCTTTCGAGTGTTACCCTGGGTACATTTTAATCGGCCACCCAGTCCTTACCTGTCAGCACGGGATCAACAGAAACTGGAATTATCCCTTTCCAAGATGTGACGGTAGGCTAATCGTTCTTGGCAACAAATTATATTTTTCACGTATATAGTAGTGCATTAATTATTAAATGGACGTATAAAAAATCCATTCATTTATTCAACAGATATTTATTAGGAATCTATTATGTTAAACTCATTTTACTTATTATTTCAGGAATATATCATATGCCAGTAAGTTAAAAATATGAATAAATAGGACTTGCCCTCAAGGAAATTGTAAAGAAAACAAAATAATAAACACAAATATGTATAACACAAACCAGACACAAGGAAAGTGTTTTGATGAATTGTGTGGAGAAGGATGGTGTTTGCTTGGGAAGTGACCAGGGAAATCTTTATGATGGTAGTAGTATTTAGAATTACAGTCATTCCACCAAATTATGGGATTAGTGGAGGAACGGATGCTTATTAATTTTACCCTGGATTTTTTTTTTCATTTTTTTATTCTTTAACTTTTACAATAATCATATATTGCTTTTGTATTTCAGCAAACTGATTTTATTTTTGTAGTGGGCCTTGAAGTATATATACTATTTTGCTATTCAGAGATGGAATATCCAGGGTAGAAAAAATAGTGTAAACAAAGACAGGGCGTAGAAATGGTCTTAGGAAAAAAATTAAGTAGTGCAGTTCAATGATGCGTGATGATCAGGGTTTCTCGGGAGATGTGGGAATCAGATGGTGATGGAGGGAAATCTGGATTCATCAAATATCCCTAGTCTGAGCAGGAATCACTTCTTTGAAGCTTCTCTATGACTACCTGATTTTTTTGATGATTTTGAAATTTTTGTAATATCAAGTTGAAATTAATAGATCAAGTACTTATGAGGAAAGCATATGAAACAGAAAAGTTCCTGTAAGCCTAATATTAGAACATTATATTGAGTGAAAAAATACTGAAATTATCAACTCTGTGGTCCTTTGAAACGCTAAACATTTATATCCCACCAGGCAAAAGGGAAAGGCAACTAGCTGTGTTTGAATTTCTTCTGAAAAAGTAAAAACAAAACAAAACCACTGGTGGACTTTTTAAATTATATTTTTCACCTGTATTTTTCCATTCTATATTATTGTAAAAAAACTATGAAAAAAAAACCTTCAGCTGTATTTTTTTAATTCCTTGTCTTAAAAAAAAGGAAATAAAAGTTAAATTAATCCTAGTCTAATGCAAATTTAATAACATGTAAAACAGCATTTAAAAAATTACTTTATAAAACTAAGTATAGCAGTCGCATATCTGGTGCTTTTTATTAAAACACCTAAAAACCTTTTTTTTATTACTCTCCATTTAAAAATTCATTTATCTGCATATCTATAAAATACTTTGAATTGTCATGATGAAACCCTTTTCTTATTTGTAATTTTCACCTGAGTTCTTTGAATTCATATGCACATGGGAGACTTCTTGGCTTGATATTAAAAAGTAGAGTTAAATATTTAAAAAGGCTTCATCTTTTTTTTAAGCTCTGTTTTCAAATATAGCAGTAACTGCTGGCTTAGAATTATTTTGTGAGCATGAAAGTAACAAAATATATTGTTTGTGATGTAGCTCAAAGGGGATGCCACCTTTTATAATTACACCATGATCTGTCATTCGACCGAGAGTTGGCCTGACTGAAGCTAAATTCCTCCAGACACCAGCTGAAAGTATGAGAGTAGCCCCCAAACGACCCTGAGGTTGGATGATTCACTAAGAGGACCACAGAACTCACTAAGCTATTGTACTCTGGTTGTAGTTTATAGCAAGGAAAAGACACATGAAAATCATGGGAAAAGATGCCTAGGTTACAGTCTAGGAGGATGCATCACTCTCAGAGAACTAATGGGCGACAATATGCCCAGAATATCGCCAACCTGAGAAGCTCACTGGGTCTTAATGCCCAGAGTTTTTAACTGGGGCTCTGTGAGGTAGGTATAACTGCTTGATGGATTGCCTGGTGGTTGATGTCAGCTTCCAGACCAACTGATATCCTGTAACTCAAAGGCCCCATCTTAAATTCCATGGCTGGTCTTTCTGGCACAGTCAGCCCCATCCTAAAACTATTAGGTATGGCCAGCACCCACATGAAACAAAGATACTCCTATCAGGTATGTCCTTAATCCCCTCTGCCAGCCCCCCAGAATAGAGAGCTAGACCTCTCTATAGACAAGGTCAAATTCTTTACTACACAAATATTTTTACCGTTATCTCTCTCTTCATATCTATAATGTCATAGACAAAATAAAAAAACAAAACATAAAATTCAAATAAAATATCATAAAATGAACTTTTTAGGCACCATCCAATGTGTGTTTAATATCCTTTCCATATTGGATTAAACTCAAGAAAAAAATAAGCAGAGGTTATTATTGTATAACAAAAGTTATTTTATCTGTGAAAGGTTGTATTCCCAAAAAGATATATATATTTTTAAAAAAAGTCTTTGTTTGCTGATAATGGTGGGCTGTTGAGATGTCCATTAGTGTCCACTTACACTATGGTTAAGCTCCTCACAAGACACCAGCAAACTCTGCTGATTATCCAGAATGCTCACCTGAAATGTATTTTATTAATTCAGCGTGGTTTTTCAGTTCAGAGTTATTCCTGGTGTGTAGAACAAATGTACTGAAAAACAATCTTCAAAGGTCCAACCCGGTTAACTTCAGAAGAATATCAGAATAGATCAGAGATACTTGGGTGAAAAAACAAAAACAAAAACATAGCTACTTTGAACAACTTCTGGCATCTTTAGTAAAAATTGAACAATTTAGACAACTAAGATTCAAGAATTCTAAATCTTAAGGCATCAATCTTCATAAGCATATACTAAACCAATTTCTGTGTACATGCTGACAGTATTAATATGTTTATTGTATAAGGATTTATTATGTAAAGTTAGTGTATTCTAAATTCATTTGAAAAATATCTGGACTAAAAGTATATCTATTAAGAGAAAAAAGAAAAAATAGGTCTCAAGTGACTTGAGAAATTCAAGACATTATTTTTGCCAGTAACATAATTATATAGAAGTCTCAGTTTAAAAAATTTGGGTTATAATTGTTAAAAAATGGTTAAAAGGACTTGTTTATTAGTTTACTAAATGTAATTTGATAATTAAATATGCATCTCTACTTACAAATACAGTTTAAAAATTTTAGATTTTTTGTTGACCTAATCTTTTATCACTGAAATATGTATGTAGATATACTTTTAAGATTTTTTTTTTTTAAGTTAAGCACTGCCCTAGTGTTCCTCAACTTAAAATGCAGTAATATCTGTGGTGGGGAACTATATGGATAGAGATAATTACTAGATAATATGTTGCAATTAACGTGTTAGCAACTTCTTTTAGATTGACAGATTTTTGTAAGCAGAACATTATTTGATTACATAATTGACACGAGAAATCCAACCAGCCAAAGAATATGTTATTATATACATAATTTTTAAAATTAACGTTTACCAAGTTGATTGATGAATACAGAAAATATTCTCTCCCAATAGTTTAGAATAAAAATAACATCCTAAATCGGAGGGGGAAACGAACCATGAGAGACGATGGACTCTGAGACACAAACTGAGGGTTCTAGAGGGGAGGTGGGTGGGGGGATGGGTTAGCGTGGTGATGGGTATTAAGGAGGGCATATATTGAATGGAGCACTGGGTGTTATACACAAACAATGAATCATGGAACGCTACATAAAAAACTAATGTAATGTATGGTGATTAACATAACAATAAAATTTTTTAAAAAACAAATAGGCTTGAAATGAGAAAAAAAAATTTTTTTAAGATCTCTGGTAGTAACCTAAGTATCTCCAAATTAGTCTTTTAATTACCCACAGAGCTTGTTGTATACCTCAGTCTTAGAAACAGGGTCTATGATGATGTTACCAGAATGAACACACCAAAAAAGTATGTACTTTACTACATTATATATGTATCTTGGTAATAAATACCTAATACTGACAATAAAAAAAATGTCATCCTAAAGAATACAACTCTTTTTACTTATATTTATAAATATTTATAGTATTTATATAATATTATAATATATTATGTTATATATAAGATTTATATTTATATAAACATAATATTTATGTTATAAATATTATTTTAAATATTTCCATTATCAAACAGTCCCTAAGATAGAGTGCACTATGTCTCTCTAACTTAAAACCATCATAAGGAAACCAAAGTAATTGAAGGAAAAAAAAATAGGTCTAAAACACCTACAGTGCTCCACATATTCGGTGACAAAAGGCATTCAGTTCCTGGTTACACTGATAGTCAAGAGTTTAAAATTCATAAATATTCATGCCAAATGTAGGTATTGGTTGTTTAGTACTGTAGGCTTTTTCTTTACCCTCCTTTTAAAAGTTAGGCAGAAATCTTAATATAATCCTGGAGAAAACCATCTATAAATTATCTATAACTGTCCTAGTGGATATTTAGGGTTTTTAAAATTTAATTTCTGATTGAAATCAGTTACGCTCTTTCTATCCATCTCAATTCAGAGACAGTCACTTTGTACATGTTTAAATGGAGACAAATCGCAATAAAGACATGTGTGGGCGCCCCTTGATTTTTCCAAGTCTAGCCCCAGGTAGAATGAAGTGACAGTGAGTCTCCACCTCCCTGTGCTGATGTCCACTCTGCCCACCAGCTCATCTTCCAGTATCTTCTGGCTCTGGCTTCACATGAGCAGGAATTGGTGAGGTACACCCATCACTTTTTGTATGAGCCACCTAAAAGTTTCATGTTCTCAAACTATGGTGAAGTGAACAGAATCCACAGTGAATCTTCTAGGCAGTGGTACCAGGTGGAGTGGGGTAGGAAGTGAGGATGGGGAGGAAGGCTTTTTACATATAAACAGGTGCTGAATAAACTTCACATTGCATGAGACATTAAGGTAAGACAGCACCTCCATCATATTCAGTAGAGCTATTGCTGGCTCTAGAATTTGATGGAAGTGGACAACTTAATCATTTTCACGTATGTATCTTTCTCTGGAGAAACACGT